CTACTGATTTCATCATTATGGACATTAAAGAAGACAGCGTAACCCCTATAATATTGGGAAAACCATTTTTAGCCACTGTTGAAGCTGTTATAGATGTTAAAAGAGGAAAGCTAACTTTTGAAGTTGGGATAAGAGAAAGTTGAGTTTATCCTGACACAGTTCCTATAGGCCCCAGCTATAGATGATACATGCTATCGGTTAGATGTAATAGACGGATGTGTTAAAGATATAGAGTCGGGAGAAGAAACTCATTCTGAAACTATGAAGATTATGATGCCCCTAATTTTTGAAGATGATGATTGGTGTCCCCAAATATAGAGATGACGGTTTAAGCGAATGCCTAGCACTGACACCAAATCATATGCCTTGTCTGAAGAAAACACAACTTGGAACTTAAAGTTTTACCCAAAACCCTAAGATACGAATTCCTAGATTCCGAACTTAAAAGACTCGTGATAGTCAACGCAGACTTAGGGCAAACTGAGACGGAAAAATTATTGCATGTCTTAAGAAAATATCCCTCTGCTTTAGGATATAACATTGCTGATATTAAAGAATAAGTCCCTTCCATCTTCATGCATCGCATTATGCTAGAAGAGATGACTGGAAATCTTCTAGAGAACATCCGAGAAGAATTAACCCGATCTTGAGCACTATAGTCAAGGATGAAGTAACTAAACTTCTAAATGCAGGTATCATTTATCCAATCTCAGATAGCCAATGGGTTATTCCAGTCCATTGTGTACCCAAGAAAGGAGGAATCACAGTCACGACAAACAAAGCGGGAGAACAAATAGCAGAAAGAGTCGTGAGTGGAGCCAGAATGTGCATTGACTACAGAAAAACTAAATAAAGCAACTCGAAAAGACCATTTCCCTCTACCTTTTATTGACCAAATACTTGAGTGATTGGCTAAGCATTCTTACTACTGCTATTTTGACGGTTATTCGGGATTCTTTCAAATTCCTGTCCACCCTGATGACCAAGAAAAGACAATGTTCACGTGTCCTTATGGTACGTTTGCTTATCGGAGAATTCCGTTTGGACTATGTAATGCGCCTGCAACATTCCAAAGATGTATGATGTCCATCTTTGTCGATTTTATAGATAATATCATGGAAGTGTTCATGGATGACTTCTCTGTATGCGGGCAAAGTTTTGAAGAATTCCTGTCAAACCTGGAAAGGGTACTGGAAAGATGTGTACAGGTAAACCTAGTGTTGAACTGGGAGAAATGCCATTTTATGGTAAAACAAGGAATTGTACTTGGACACATATTTTCTGAAAAGGGGGTAGAAGTAGACAAAGCTAAGATTGAAGTAATAGAAAGCCTCCAACCCCCAAAAACCGTAAGAGAAATATGAAGTTTCTTAGGCCATGCCGGTTTCTACTGACGCTTCATAAAAGATTTCTCGAAAATTTCTAAACCTCTGACTAACCTCTTAATGAAAGAAGTTGAGTTCATCTTCGATGATGACTGCATGAAGGAGTTTGAACCGTTAAAAGCAACTCTCATATCTGCACCCTATCATACAAACCACCTGATTGAGTCTACCATTCAAGATAATGTGCGACACAAGTGATTATGCAGTAGGTGTAGTCCTAGGACAAAGAAGAGACAAAAAACTCCATGCAATATACTATGCAAGTAGGACTTTGGATTCTGCACAGATAAACTACGCCACTACAGAAAAGGAACTCTTGGTAGTCATTTTTGCATTAGATAAATTTTGGTCCTATCTAGTAGGCGCAAAGATTATTATCTACACTAATCACGCAGCTATTAGATGCCTATTAGCTAAACAGGATGCCAAGCCAAGATTATTAAGATCGATCTTACTCTTACAAGAGTTTGATTTGGAAAATCAAAGATAAACCAGGATCTGAAAGTCTTGTTTCCAACCATCTATGTAGGATGGAAAATCTTAAATCTGAAGAGATACCATCAATGATGATTTTCCATATGAATATCTGGTGGCCCAAATGAGGTCTGAAAACTCAGCTGAGAATGCTCTTAATTTTGCAACAATGACGAGATAACTAAAGTATTTGAAGAAGTATCTACTCAAATTTCTCTGCCCTGGTATGCTGACTATCTCAACTACTTAGCAGCAAAAGTCCTTCCACCTGATTTAACTTATCAGCAGAAGAAGAAATTCTTTCACGATCTCAAACATTATAATTGGGACGATCCCTTACTATTCAAGTGAGGCCCCGATGGTATTTTCTGTCGATGCATTCTTGAGAGTGAAATAGAGAGCGTAATTTCTCATTGTCATGAAGCCCCTTATGGTGGACACGCTAGCACCTCAAAGACTTGCGCAAAATCCTACAAGCTGGCCTTTATTGTCCCAGTCTATGGAAATATGTCCATGCTGCAATTACAAAAATGTGACTGGTGTCAACGCATTGGTAACATATCTAGGCACGATGAGATGCCTCAAAAAGGGTACTCCTAGAAGTAGAGATATTTGACGTATGGGGAATTGACTTTATGGGACCTTTCCCATCATCTTCTGGCAACAATTACATATTAGTGGCAGTAGATTACATATCCAAATGGATAGAGGTTGTAGCCTCTCCAATAAATGATGCACAAATAGTGATTAGGTTATTCAAAACATAATTTTTCCAAGATTCGGTGTTCTGAGATTAGTCATCAGTGATGGTGGCTCTCATTTCATTTCCAAATTTTCAATAAACTCTTAGCAAAGTATGGAGTCCGACACCGCGTAGCAACACCTTACAACCCACAAACAAGCGGGCAAGTGGAAATCTCTAACAGGGAGATTAAGCAAATACTTGAGAAAATTGTTGCCACATCTAGGAAAGATTGATCGTCTAAACTACATGAAGCATTATGGGCATACAGAACAACGTACAAGACACCCATTGGAACCACACCTTTCAAACTGGTCTATGGTAAATCATGCCATCTACCCGTAGAACTGGAACACAAAGCCTATTGGGCCATCAAAACCCTGAACTAAGTTACAAAGCCGCGGAGAAAAGAGAGTTCTAGACATCTATGAATTGGAAGAGCTTAGGCTAGATGCATACGAGAATGCCAAAATCTACAAGGAGCGAACTAAGAAACGGCAGGACAAACGCATCTCTAGGAAAGAATTCAATGAGGGCGATGTAGTACTCCTGTTTAACTCCATACTTAAATTATTTCCAGGGAAACTTTGCTCTAGATGGTCAGGACCTTTTGAAGTTATTAAAAATACTCTCAAGTGGCGCTATAGAAATTAAAGGAAAAACCAGCGATCCATTTGTTGTAAATGGTCAGCGTTTGAAGCATTACCACTGCATTGAGAATAGGGACTACTCAGCTAGTTTGCGATTTATACAGCTGCCGGCTGAGTCACCAAAATAGATTTTCGATTTTCAATATAGGTCGAGCTTCCGACGTTAAACAAAGCGCTTTGTGGGGAGGCAACCCACCATTTTTATTAAAATTTTTATTTACTAAAAGTTTTTTTTATATTTCTCTTAAAAATGTTACAAAAATTTTTCTGTTCTTTTCTTCTTTTCTATTTTTAGGCATTAGGCCGATGCTGATTTAAAACTATTTTCATATTAACCTACAGGATTCACATTTCTTTTTCTTTACTGATTTTCGCTATGGACTTTTCTGACATTATGCATGTCACCTTCGTGGGTGATGCTCAGCAGAAGCGTTATGAGATGCTTGCTCCGAGAGAGATGTATCCCACCATCTGTGTGCACGACCCCACATTGTCCGCATTGGGCATCGGGGAGAGTGTTCGCTTCATGTTTAACCAGGTTTGTTGGGATTATTTTTATTCATCATCAGCAGCCTACCTACCGCAACTTGACGCTGGAGTTCCTCAGTTCGTTGCATTACAACCCTGATATTGGTTTAGGGTTGGCCAGATGTTTGGTTTCATTCAGATTGTTTGGTTTTACCCACAGGTTCATCATCCGTGAATTTGCTGCTTTATTGGATTTCCCGATTTGTGCTGATATTGTCATTGAGATTCCAGATGACAAGAATTATAGGGTTTAGCCCAAATACACATATTAAAAGCCCAAATATAAATAAACAAGAATTATACAACTAACACATATGGGCTATTACGGAATTGTATCTTCAGATTAATTTTTAGAAAAAGAGAATTGTGATTCATTACGCATAAATTTAGTGTGACGGATGCGTTCAAAAATATATTTTTAAATTAGGAGGATATTTTTGAATTTTTATACGATGTTTCTCCACCACTAAGGGTGGGAGAAATAATTTTTTTAGTTCAGGAGTTTAAATGATAACGAGAGATGATTAGTCACAATTTAATTAGAAGTTAGTAAAATTATCAAATGATAAATAAAAAAAACAAATACTTAATTAATATTGTAATCACTCATAATTTATTATTCATATCCTTATAATATTAATCAGTGATCAATTTATTAATACCTGATATCATTGAGGAGATAAAAATTATAAATCATAAATTTATATGTCTGTTCCATTTAGATCAATTATATAAAAATATATGATAAAATAGAGTTTAAAACTTTGTCCCGTTCTCTAAAAAGAGTATGTGGGTATAGCATTTAAATTGCAAAAATTTATACATGGAAAAGCCCGCAAATAAATTAGGTGGAAAGGAATGGACATTTAGAGGCTACAAATTTTAAATTTTGATCTATTTTTAAAATAAAAAAATTGGGCAAAAATAGATATGCTCAATAGTTGCCACCGTACATGTATAGTTTATCTACAAGTTGCAAGAGGACAACTTGATATGAGAAAGATTTGTCCTAAAGTAAAGTTAAAGAATAAACAACTTTGAACAAGTCGTCAATACATCTTGTACTTTTCGAATACCAATTAAGGGGAAGAGAGGTATGAAACAGATTTATGAACCCGAGAATTATCATGAACATGGAAACAAATTTATACAATCAATGAATCAAAGTAATACTATAATTGTAAGATACACGAACATTAAATACATATATAATATTATGTTTCATTTTGGCCCCGGAAAAGGATTAGAAAACCTGGTTGAAAAACTTGGAGGCAAATATTCTTCATCTTCACTTTGTGCTCCACTATTGAAATTAAGAGCATAACTATGTGCATCATATTGAAACCTATTCTTTTGTTGCTTTTTTCCATATCCACTTATTTTTCTAATAAATGTTTTCCACTTTGGACCAGCAATCACTTCTGATGTTTCCTTTATCTTCTTCAACTTCTCCATCACCCAAGTATCTTCTCCTCTAATTCCTTCACTCTTATCATCAAGTAGGTGTTTACCTTCTTCGTCGTGGCGTCGCCACCACTCCGAGGTGAAAACTCGAAAAATCCACACCCCGCATCCATACCGTTGACATCATCAAATTCTTGTTTGGCTTCCATTTCCATCACCAATGGTCTTTCCTCGTAGACAGACATGATTTTGTTTTTGTTTTAAGGTTTTGAGGTTTGTGCCGGCTTTTGATCATTGAGAAAACATTATAAGAAGATATAGAAGGAAAGGAAGAAAGTCGAAGAAACCGTATGAGCCATGTTGAATTTTCAACATGTATATAGAACGTTCCAAGCAATATCCTCGTGCTAGTTTTCTTATATTATACGCTTTAGACGCTGGCATTACTCAACAACAACAACAACAACATTATTATTATTATAATTATTATTATTATTATTATTATTATTATTATTATTTATTATTATTATTATTATTATTATTATTATATTATTATTATTATTATTATTATTATAATTATTATTATTATTATAATTATTATTATTATTATAATAATTATTATTATTATAATTATTATTATTATTATAATTATTAGTATAATTATAATTATTATTATTATATTATAATTATTATTATAATTATAATTATTATTATTATTATTATATAATTATTATTATAATTATAATTATAATTATTAATTATAATTATAATTATATTATTATTATTATTATATTTATTATTATATATTAATTATATTATTATTATTATATATTATAATTAATTATTATTATATTATTATTATTATTATTATTATTATTATTATTATTATTATTATTATTATTAATCTTATTATTAGTTATTAAAATTTTTATTATTATTTTTTGTATTTTTTTATAATTTTAATA